GTTCTTACCTGAGAATGCGCATGTGGTGCCAGCCGTCCCGCGTGAGGTTCGTGAGCGAGCCCTCAGGAACGCCGAGCCCGTACTCGGTCAGCTTCAGCAGCTTCTCGCCGCTCTGGTCGAGGTAGTCCATGTACCGCCGCATGGGCTCGCGCACGTCGGCGTCGGGCCACGGGCAGGGGCCGTGGCAGGGCCAATTGTCGAGCACGCGGCGGTCGTCGAGCGGCAAGTCCTTGGTGACGGTGAAAATCTCCGAGTAGTCGGCCACGCCGTCGGTGATCTCCTCGCCGCTCGCGATGTAGCCCGAGTAGCTCTGCGGGTCGGCGCACGCGTGCTTCTCGCTCGGCGGCTTGGTGAAGAAGCGCTCGCTCGCCTGCTGCGCCGCCGCGTATACGGCCTCCTGGGCCGGGCTCATGGCGATCTGCAGGATGCCGTTGCGCCGCCACGACTCGACGATGGCCTTGCCCATGGCCCGGTCGCCGGCCGTGCCCCTGACCTCGGCCGGCAGCTCGAACGTGTCCAGCAGCCCCACGCGCGCCTTGTGGTTGGGCGGCATGGTCCGGCCCATGGCCTCCAGGTCCATGACCTGGCCGTGGGACGCCGTCGCCATGCTGCGGCCGCTGAGGCGCGGGCGGGTTGCGCGGAGTGCTTGCCTGAGCATTGCGGTGAGGAGGAGGTCTGGCGATGAGGGGGTATGCTCCGTAGGAGAGAAAGACCAAGCTCAAGGCTATTTCTAGAGAGGCTTGAGTAGAAGGATCGGGGTAATATGAGCCAGACAAGATTACTAGTAGCCATAGGAACGTCGCCTTGATCTTATACTTGCCCGGTCCGGCGCCGAGATACCAAGATGGGCAAATTCCAAATCGGGGAGGCCGGGGACGGCTGTCATGGGGGCGTCGAGTCGCTTCACCGCCCCGTCGCAGCTTTGGTAGGGTGCCCCGGCTTTCCCTTCTTGTTTTATTACTTTGGCCCTGAGGGAGTCCTGAGGCTAGCAGATAATGTTGCCAAACAGTCGCTGTCCTTGCCTCTAGATCGTACAATGTAGCGTCTGCGAGCCCGCGCTCCGCCTTGCTGCGGCGCAGTGGCGTGATGTACAAGGAAGGCCCGGGACGCACGATGTAACCTCTGCGAGCCCGCGCTGTACAAGGGAGGCCCGGGGCCTGGCACCGGTCGAGTTCGTGCCCGGGTCCCGTAGTCGACGGCGACGTCCTTTCTGGCATGGATCCGCCAGCGGTGAATACCGAGGACTCAGGATGTCTGCGAGTCTGAGCCCAAACATCTACTGAGACGTGTGTAAATGGTGCACCCTTCTTCCGCAGTCTTCTAGGACTAGATAAAAGTGTAAGTCTCCCTGCTAGCACTCCTCGCACTCGCACGCACATGGCTTCTTAAAGTTGAACCAGAGCTGCTCGACCTATCACATGAGCAACGGAACCCTTCTCGGGCGGCCAGCGATCAGGGGCTGAGTGTATTAGACAGTTATTTATGATGGACAGTCTTTCCCAGCCAACGCAATGCGAAATGGCACAGACTCAGGCTCTAGTTGATAAGAAATAATATGCAGTTACATGGGCAACTTCAAACCACCACGTGAATCACGCCGGCATCCTGACATGTAAGTGTCAGATGCAGTGGGGTCTTTTTAAGCGTGCCGAGACCAGTGAGCGCCTGCATCCAAGGCCACTCTTGACCCCTTGACACGGGCCCAAGTCATTAACTAGGCAGGTAGGTACCTAGGTCCCTGGGTCCCTGGATAGTAATTATGATGTAACAAGAGCTACGTGTGACTAGAGCCTGCAATGCGACTAAAAGACACCCATCGAGAACACTTGTGGCGCTGCGACGAAGGAAGGCCGTGGAGCGAATGCTGGCGAGAACCAAAATGAGGGCGCAGCATGCGTGAATCTGTGAAGACAAAAGATAGTTTGCCACACCAATCGTACTGAATGCTAGGCGACGAGGCACAAGGGTCAGTATTTTCCGCCCGTCCTTCAACTGCTCTCGCTTTTGCAGGCAATGAATAATGAATGAAGCCCCACGGACGCTTGGCAGGCATTGATTTGTGCGACCGAGGCGCATACGGGCATCCCCTCATCCGGCATTTGCCGCAACTGACTGCCATCTGAACATTCTGTATAGAAACTTGTCAACCTCGCTGGGCACCTACCTAAACACCCAGTTTCACACCCCCGATCTCGCCCATCAGGCGTCTCAAGCAGCGGCCTCCTGCCGGCCCGAAACGGGACGGCGACATGGGCAATCCGAACCCCCGTCCCATGCTCGCCCGCGAGCCGTTCCGCTCGCTGTACATGCTTGCCGCGGTCGCCTCCATCCTGGCCCGCCTGCCCCGGTGGCTGGTGGCGGCCGGGCTGGAAGGCAAAGGGGGCCGTCATGACGCGGCTGCTGCGCGCGGGCGTCGACGCCCAGTCCACCGTCGCCGCCACCACCGCCGTCTCGCTCGAGCCGGGCCCCGAGGGCGACAGGTTCTGCGCCTTCGGCCCCTTTGAGGACGCCGTCTACGTCGGGCCCCTCTCACCCCGGGCGGCCACCGCCGGGTCCCCCGACGCCGCCGCCGCCGCCGCCGCCGCCGTCGTCCGGCCGGGCAGGACGGGCGGCACATAGCATCCGCGGCGGCCGGGCGGCGGCGGGACGTCCAGGACGGTCGTGATGCACGTGCACGGCGGCGCGTTCGTGATTGGCAATTCGCGGGGCTACTGCCGTTATCTCGCCAAAACCCTGGTCTCGGTGGCCAGGGCTGATCTCGTCTTCTGCCCCGAGTATCGCCTGTCGGGCAAGTATTGCGCACTGGCCGTAGTCTAGGGCTCTGATTTGGGTTGACAGGACCAACTAACATGAGCGCACACGTCGAAAAGGATACGAATCGACCAACCCTTTCCCAGCCGCGCTCCAGGACGTCCTGACGAGCTATTTGTACCTTACCCGGTCGCTCTCCATACCGGCCGAGAACATGGTCATGTCTGGAGACAGCGCGGGAGGCAACCTCTGCATGGGGCTTCTGCGCTACATCGCAAGGTACGGCGACTCGCTGGGCATCCCGGCCCCGGGCAGCTGCGTCCTCGTCTCCCCCTGGGTCGACCCGTGGCCCGAGACGGCGGGGCCCCATGTGCAGCCCTACCTGTCGCACCGAAACTACAACATCGACTACATTGACCCACTGGGGCTCGAGCGCGTACGGCGGCGGCGGCGGTATCTCGGCCCAGGAGTTTCGAGACAATGCGTACATGACGCCCGCGGGGAAGCCCTTCGCCACCTGCGTCCCCATGTTTGCGAGCTTTGGCGACTCCGAGGTGCTCGGGGACGACGTGGAGGAATGGGCCGCGGGAATGTCGGCTGTAGAGGGGAACGTGGTCGAGACGTTTGTGGAGAAGGACGGGGTGCACGACATTCTGGTCTTTGGGGACGCGCTCGGGTTCGAGGACGCTGCCAACGATGTGGCGCAAACAAAGGTAACAACCAAAACGCCGTTATGAAAAGGAAAAGCGTAGCACAGCTTAGCGATAGGTTCATTTTGTTGGGGGTTAACAAAAGTTTATGTTAAAATAATGCGCAAAATCGAAGAAATAACGCGGGTGTGCGATTTAAGCGAAACCAAAGGTAGCTAGCTGCCTTCGAAAAAATGCCTATGGTGATAAGGTTGTGGGCGACAAAGTAGCAGCCGCAAAAGGCTATCGAGGACAAGGAGGAGGAGCGAGCGGGGCGAGGGGCTTGGGCTCGCCAGGTTCGGTTGCTTTAAGCAGCGAAGGCGGGATTCTGCTCGAACAAACTAAAGCTGGGTCAATGGCGTGGCAGCGATTAATATCGAATGGATAGAATGCTCGGTAAATAGCCTCGAAACAAAAAAAAAAAAAAAAAAACAACCGATCCAGCCGGATCACTACTAGCTTTATGGAAGACGACGAGCACGACGCGGCCAAGCCATAACGTGGAAGTGCGCGCAGGCAGTTATTCTGGTGAGAGCCTTGGCCAGCCAGCCAGCCACGTCGCATTGCCAGCTAGGCTAGAGCCAGGGTGGCTGCCTAGCGTCCAAAGGATTCGGCGTGATAACAGTCCTGTGTGGCTATTCACATTTGTCAAGCGGGGTGCTTGTTCGAGGTGGCTTGCTGCTAAAACTGCTAGCAGTCTGCTAGTAGTCTCCATGGCCAACTAGGCTGATAGGACGGCCCACCTCCCGGCTGGCCTCGCCTCAACCAGGGATCGCGTAGAAATTAGTGCAGCAGAGCTCCTCAGGAAGACTCGACAGTTCTCTGTCTTGCTCCTCGGAGCTGTATGCCTGGGGCTCCCACACAAAATAAGGGCATAGAGCGACAATCACTGGAACGTGCCAGCCGATCGTGGGCGCTAAGCCGTGCATGTGCCTTGTGCTGTCTCTTGGCACCCTTTATGGGCCGATGTTTATGGAAGCCAGAGAACATACGCCGCATGCGCTTAGCAGCGGGCTTCGATGGCTTCGATGGCTTCGATGCAGTACATTTTCGCCCGAAGCTTTACGATCGCAACCCCGATGTGGTCGCAACGCGGCACTTTAACAAATCAGTTGGTTTGCTGCATTAAGAGGCATCGCTGAAAAGTAGTCCCTGTGCTCCTTTCGCTATACGCACTTTGTTTATTTAAGGCCCAAACACTAAGCCGTACGTACCCGACCCCAAATACAGCCGAAGTAAAAGAACAGCATGCGCAAAAGCAAAAGGAAAAAGAAAGGAAGAAAAAAAATCAACCCTTCCTGACTAGTATCCCTCCCTACCGAGCCCCTGAATCGACCGTTATCTTTGTTGTCATCATGATCCCACCCACGTTATGCTGCTTGTCCGACGCGAAAAGGTTGGCGGGCTGGTGGTCCGAGGACGCGTTGGCGTAGGTTCCGCTCGGCATCCCGACGCCGCGGCCCGCCCCGAGGCCCATCTCCTCGGCGTCGACGTCGGTCCTAACGCTGCCGGCCCCGATGTCCCGCAGCGCCAGCTCCTCGCTGTTAAAGCTGTCGGTCTGGTTGCCGCCGCGGTCGCCGGCGGCGCTAGAAACGACCGCGGCGGACTTCGTCCGGTGCAAGCCGCCGCCGCCGGTGGAGCCCTGGCGCAGGTAGGCGCTGCGACTCCGGCTGTAGCCGTTGCGGGCGCTCGAAAGCCCTATACCGGGCAGGACGCGCGCGAGCAGGGGCCGGAGTGTAGGCAGGCACGAGGCCACGATGGCGGCTGTAAGTTCGACGATGGACCAAATGGCGGCCCCAATGTTGTCCCAGGTCGGGTCCGTGCTGACGACGCCAGGGTAGAGCGTGAAAAGCCGGTAGACGGAGACGATGCAAACGCTGGAGGGAGGGGGAGGAAAAGGGCGGTCAGCACAAAGGAGCTGTTCAGCGTGGCGTCGTCCGCGCATAGTGCGTCGCGGCGCCACCAGCAGCGGTGAGGGGAGAGACAGCATAGGTTAGCGGCGACAGGATGTGGTGATTTTCACGACTTACAAGAAGCCCAAGCTGAAAATGCCCAACACCATAACTTTCTGCCGCGCTCGGAGCTGGAGCCTCCAGGCCGCGGGCAAGGGGATGCAGAAAATTGCAAAGTCGGTAGCCATGCTTAACGCGGCGGTGAGGTACCAAATCGGAAGGGTGTCAAGGCATCGGCCGACCATGCTCGGGTTAATAACGCTGTAGGGGAAGCACATGAAAAAGAGGAAGTTCAACTGGACGACTGCCCAGATGAATACAAAAACGATGAACCAGAAACAAACGGTTTGGACATATCGGACGTGGGAAAAGATGCGCCGGTATTGGAACAAGAATCCCAGTTTGATCAAGTTCATGCCCTGGGTGTAGCTGCAAATGGCGACCATGAGGGCCTAGCGGCTTGCAACACCGTTAGCTCGTCAGCTCCTTGGGCGCCCGCCGTGGGCGGTTTGGATCGAGGTCCGGGGAGCTCGGCAACGCACCTTCAGCTGCATTATCGTCTCCTCTGGGGTAACATTTTCGACATGCCGTCCCATGCCGTATTTGACCTCGAAGCACACCGCGATGGAACAGGTGATAGCCAAAACCTGTGGAAAATTGCCGCTTTTCCGTTAGCATTAAAACCCTTGTCGATGAAACTTTAAACGCTGAAAAAGAGAATTAGGAATGAAAAAGGCTGGAACCAACACCGGCAGCCAAAGTGGCCAAATCATCTTTGCCTACGGCCTTGAGGATTAGGCCTCGAGTAATAAAGCGGAGCGAAAGAAAAACCACGTTGATCATGAGGAGGAAGATGGCGAGGGCCGTAACCATGGGCCCGTTGGTTTCGGTGCGAATAATGGCTGGAGGGGGAGCAGCGTCGGCCATGGTGACTAAGGCCGGACCCTGTTCTGGGGGCAAGGGACAGCGAGGGTTTGGGGAAGCAAGCGAGAACAGGGAAAGTGTGATGGGTCAAACCACCAGGTGGTGCCTGGCAGGTGCCGAAGTGGTGTTATTCTACGAGATAAGGAGAAATGGGAGAGAGTGGGGTCCATGCCTCCTATATACATGAGTCCTAGCCCAAGAGGCACCCCGTGAGTCACGTGATCCGTGACCAGCACGGACAGAAAGCCAAATCGAGGAGAAACTTAAGTGGTGATACTTCTTTGCGACTGCGCACTGGGGAGATTAGCACGATCCTGGCGGCCGAACCCCGCGCGCGCCGCCACCGTCCGGAGCAAGCTCCCTTTTCATCCCTTACTGTAGTTTGACAGGCCGAGGCAGTTTGGGCAGCGTTGGCGCTTGCGCGGTGTTGGCGATTCCTCTAAACTCGCGCCGCCTAACAGAAAGGCGCTACTCGATCAAATAGCCGGCAACCGGGCGAGTGGTCCGCTCTTCAGCCGCGATTCAATAGCGCCTCCGAAACAACCAAGGCCAGACCACCGTCGTTTAGCTAGCAAGGCCGTGCAGCGCGCGACAGTCGCCGGAACTTGCCGGACACGTAGAAAGGGCTTATATTCCGGGCTTGTGGTGCACGCGCTGCCAGTGTGTGTGTGCGTGTGTGCGTGTGCGTGCGTTGGCTCCAGCATAACCCCCACACCACCGACTACACAACCCCGGACGCCCATCTGGGCCCTTTAACATCCGGGCCAGGAGGCTGCTAGCCATTTCGGGTTTTCCAATGGCGCCTTCCCCATACCTTCAAGTAGTTGCGACAATGATCTGCTCGTGAGATTCGGGCAAAATCGTGCCCAGCGCTAGGTAGGTTGCGAACTAGGTGGCTCCTGGCAAGTGGGAACTGTTAGGGGGTAACCGAGCGATCACCTTATCACCTTCATTTAATTTACCCCTGGCCACCTAGTGCCGACACATGCCTGGTGCTCCAGGTACTCGGCAGAAAGAAGCTGAGGACCCGGTACTCGGTACTTTAGCCCAGATTTGGGGGGAAATGAAAATTCCAGGCGGGGAGATTAAGGGTCCCAGCCCAAACGCTATCGGCGCGTCACAAGGCCAGGACCTCATGCACCCCTAGGGCACAGCACCAACACGGTTCAACACCGTACACGTATAAATTACCTGCACACCGATGTACAGGGTGTGCAATTAAAATGGGAGGTTATCCAGACTTCCGACACCACTTTAGCTAGCACAATCCAACTATGACGGCTATCGGTGTTGAGTTTAGAAGCCACAAGATGCAGGCAAATCGTTAACGGCTCGAGGGACCCTGCAAACACACGGTTTGGGAAGCACCTGCCCAGACGGGCTAAACTGCGAGCGGAGACCCGACAAGGGGTTCCCAAAAAAAAATTGATTCGCCACCACATTGATTGCGCTACGCTAGCGACCAGCCTGCCAGTCTGGGCGAGCGACGGGAAGTGGCGTCACTGGCAAAAAGTCAAAACAAAGGCGGGGAAAGCTCAGGCCAGGGACTTAACCCATTGGCGGGCGTCCTCACAACTGATCAGGCCGTGCGACTAGAATTTCAGCCTGCTTCAAGTCGCTGCATGGCTGAGTAGTACAAGCCTTGTTTTATGCGGGACCAAACCAAGGTAATACCCGTTACACCAAGGCAAAGGGGAACGTTGTTGTAGCTGGGGCTATAACCCATGCGAGGTCCATATAAGCGACTGCACCGTAACAGGTTGTTGTTAGGAGCACGGGCACGACCGCCCGGCAGAAAGCGGGGAGCGTTAGGAAAACGGGCGAAACCGCCCGGCAGAAAAGGAAAAAGGGGGCGCTAGCAGCCAATCGGGCACGGACCTTCCCGGGGATATGCCGGCGGGCTACCGGTATCGCGGCCAAAACATAACGGCGAAATTAAAAAATAAAATAAATTTTAAATTGCACGAAAGCGTATGGAGCGCGGAAAATTTAAAAAACCAACCCCGCGTGCCCGTAAAAGCATAAAAAAAAAAAGTTAAAAAAACAATTTTTGTTAGCGATAGCATTTTTGGTAAAAAATTTACGGAAATTTAATAAAAGAAATACCGTATCCGGCCCGTAACCCGGTAATTACCCGCCTTTGCATTAATTAACCTTTAATATATTATTTCTTTTTTAAACCTTTTTTATTTGGGGAATAGGCCCGGGTAATTACCGGGGGGATTAAACAAGTTTAAAAAAGGCATTTACAATTTTGCATTGCTTATAATAACGCTTAACGTTACGTTAAGCACGTTGGAAAAGGCCGTTGGGCTACCGGAATAAAATATTAAAAAAGCCCCGCAAATTTCCAATAATTTCGAAAACTTTTCCGTAAAGGAGCTGCAAAAAATAAATAACGCGCTGGAAGCCCAAAGCAAGCGCGCCCGTTTAATTTAAAAAATTTAAAATAAAAGGTTAAAGCATGCGTATAAAAGTTTAAATAAAAATAAAAAAAATACTTTTAAGCAACGGAAAGGTTTTACATAAAGCAAAATTACTTTTAAACCTTTTATATTTAAAAAGTTAGCAATTTGGCAAAATATTGCCCATTACATTAGCAATTACAAATTTATTTTCGAAAGCAAAAAAGAACGTTACGGTAAAAACCGTGTAAAGGTTTAAATAGCTTCCAGCATTTTTAACCATTGCCAATGGGCACAATAAACAAAATATAAATAAATGTATTATTTAAATACCAAAGTATTGCTTATTTAAGCCGATTTTTTGCGGTAATTTTAAGCAAAGTTAAAAAACCCCGATTTGCAAATGTAGTTAGCGATTAAAAAGCTTGCGGGGGATATCGCTATTAAATAAAAAGATTACAAATTATTTAAAGCGTTTTGGATTTGTTGGGATTTAGTAAAAAACGATTTTTCCGAATTAATATTTAAATGGATAAAAACGATATTGCTTTTTAACCGGTTTCGCCCCAAAATTTAAAAACGGGTAATATTTAAAAGCTTTTTTTACATTATGGAAAAATTGCAAGCCAAAGCTTTTAAAGCAAAAATAATATTGGAACCGCATAAAGGGATGCCGGGGAATACCGGTACTTTAACCGTTAAAAAGCCGGTTATTTGCTTTAAATGCGGGCAATTGGGCTATATTGCTGCAGCATGCAAAATACGAACGGATAACCCGAAAATTCCGTTAGCTTTAGCAACCATACAAAAAGCAAAAAAAAAAAAGCCCGAAGTACGGTATTACGGGTATGGGGAATTGGGTTATATCCGGCCGGCGTGCTTTAAAAAAAGCAAAATATTGCTACTTAATTCGATACCGTTATTTGGCCGTTTAAATACCGGGGCTTAAAAATGCGCCCCGGCGGCTAAAACGCGCTAAAAAACCGAAATGTATTTACGGATTAACGGTTGCCGGGTAAAATTAAAAGTATTGGTTAATAATGGAAGCAACGTTAATTTAATGCATAACCGTTTATTAATAAAAGTAAAAAAATACCGATGCTAAACGGGGGCCATTTGGCGTAATTCGATACCAAAAAGCGCATGTTTATATAAAAGAAAAAAAATGCAAAACCCAAATAACGGATAATTAAAAAACAACCCGAAAATTAGTAATGTTTTACGTAATAATGCCCCGGGCTAAATATAACATTACGTTAAGCATGCTTTAGCTTTAGCAAAAAAACATTAAAATCCGGTTTGGGAATATAAAGTAAAAATTCCCGGTAATTATTAAAAAGGTTAAAATAATTTTGTTGGAAATAGCTAAAAAGCTAATCCAATTGGAACAAGCGATAACCGTGCTAACGGTTGCACGTTCGAAAACCCCGGAAAACCCCGGGAAAAGGTTAAAAGCTTTTCCGGAATGGGTTAAAAAAATGGTTGCAAAATATGCGCAGCTTTATAAATTAAACCTTTTTAAACCGCTTTTGCTTCTTTAACTTCGCAACGGGAAAACGCTATTAAATATAGCAAATTTAACATTAAATTTAAACTTTTCGCTTCCGGCTCGTTACCGGACGTATGTTCGCGCGCGAGCGCGCTTCCGGCGCGGTTGCTAGCAGCGCTAATAGCCCCGAAAGCGGCGAAACGGTTACCAACCGCCCTAAAGCTAGCAACAATACCATTATAACCAACGCCCCCGACCTTTTCCCAACGCGCACCCGTATTGCAAATTTAAAAAATTAATTAATTAAAATATTAAAGCTTTTTGTACCCCCCGGCAGCATCGAATTAATGCTTAAAATTGTAAAAAAATAAATTAAAACCGTAATAAACGCGTTCGAAACGCGGTTTCGCAACCACCGCAATTATATGCCCAACCATTTTTGCATTATAAAAAACGAAATTATTGCTAAAATACGCAACGCCCGCAAGCAAATTACTAATTACGTTTCGATTTTGGCAACCGGTTTGCCGTAAAGCGGTTAAACCGGTAATTACCCGCTTACAATCCGCTTTTACAAATTTTTTAATACCGGCCCCCCCCCCCCCCCCCCAAAATATATTTCCGCGCGTACCGAACGCAAAATTACCATTTTAACCAAAAACGTTCCTTTTAAAATTGCGAACCGCATACCCGTTAAAATTACCATTATATTAATTAAAAAGTTCGGCAATAACGTAAAAACAACGCGCAAATTTCCTAACGGTAACGTAATAATTTTATTTTATATAATTGCCGTTAAATATACGAAAAACACCGCATAAATTACTAAAGTATTTAGCAGCAAAGCAATATACCGAACCCAAATTTATAACGTTATAATTAAAAGTATTTAATAAAACGCAACCAACGATAACAACATTTTGCTGTACGAATTTAAAGCGTATAATATTAAGGCCGAAATTAATTTTATCCATATATAAAACGCCCGGTAATTAAAAGGATACGCTACGGTATTGGCCAGGATTACAATTCTTACCGCAATTTAAATTGCATGCAATAACGGTTTCGTATTTAAAAGCAAAATCCTTAACGTTAAACCGTTTGTAACGGGAACAAAAACCGTTTAATGTTATAAATGTTACGGGTAAAAATATAAATTAAAATTTTGCAAAAAAGCGGTTCGTTGCCCGCATTGCGCCAAATCGTTATATAGCAATAGCAAAGCCGGGGAACTTTTGTACCCGTTGTACGGAAATTAACTTGTTATAAAAAAAAGCGAATTAAAATGTTGCAATTGCGGAAGCGATTATTTAGCTTTCCAATAAGCGTGCCCCGCAACGAAAAAAGAAATTAAAAGGGCCAAAAATACATTTTTAAACCGGCCAAAACAATTTGCTTTAAAAACGGGGAACGAACGCGCACTTTAACCAAACCAAATAAGCTATTTTACCGTTTATACCCTTTCGCTTTTTGCATTTATCCGCTTTTTACCCGGCCCCCCCCCCAGCCGCTACAAAAAAAAATAACTTATTTAATTTAAAATTGCTAACAAAACGCAAACGGAACGGTTTTTTATTAAAAATAACGAAAGCAAAGGAAAATTTTTTAATTAAAAAACGAATAAGCAAATTACGAAAATCCCGCAATAAAAAAACGTTAAGCTTTTTTAAATCCGCTTTCAAAATAAACCAATACTTTACAAACCCAAACTTTGCCTTTTTCGGTTTTAACAAAATAACGGAAATAAAAAAAATAAACGAATGCCGGGCCGTTAACGACCCAACGGCACCTAGCAATACCGCGGTTACCAATTTCAACTTTGCCAATGCACCAAACCATAAAGCCCTTTTTTTCCCCCCGATTTACCTTTACTTTAACCGCTTGCATCCTAACCGATTTAGCTCGGCCTTATACCGGTACCATTTAGCTTTTTTGCAACCGGAATTACGTTTATTTTTAACCAACCAATTAACAATAATAGCAACGTATAAAATTAAATATATTATATTGGAATATGGGAAAAAGCAAAAGGAAAAGCAACCTTTCCTTTTACAGCAACAAATAATACGATATTTTAACCATTTAAAAGCCGGAGCGTAACTAGTACGGAAACCTTTTAAAACCGTACGGTTGCAATTACGAGCTTATTTATTACCAAAAATTTAATTTTAACGCAATACTTTACGTACATAACCGTTTTGCCCCCAAATTGTAAACCGCCCGGTACGGTTATAATTAAGCTTTAATTATAATTATTACGCCGGAAAGCCCATTAAAAATATATTTAATATATTTTCCAAATTTTAAAGCAAACCCCCATTGGGCAACGCTTTTTATTACAATCGCTATTTACTTAACCCAAAAGCATACAATTCTTACAAGCAATTTTAACCTTTATTACCTAATTTAAAATTTATACAATAAATATAACGCAAAAAGCAAAACCTTTTTGGAATTAGCACGCCGTAAACAATTTAAATTAGTAACGCTTTACGGAAAGGTTACGAAAAGGAAACGAAAAAAAAATAGTACAATTAACTACGTTTAAATAACGTAACAATTCGAAATAAAATATTTAAAATAAAACAATACAATAAAAAAGTTTAACCATTTGTTCCAAATATTTCGCGTTTTTTTTAAACCGTAACAATTTTAATTCCAATAAGTTAAAAGTTAGAAATGGAAAAACGTTAAATTAATAAAAAAATTGGCAAAAACTAAAACCAAAATGGCTAATAAATTAATAACAATTAGGGATATGCATAACGCTAAAATTATAAATAAAAAAGTTAATAAATTAATGCAATAATTAATTTAATTTGCTAACCAATTAACTTTTCGACGGAAACCAAGCCCTTTTAGCAAACGCGCTTTTTATTAAATATAAAAATTCGACGATTTCCGTAAAAAAGCGAATTGCTTGCAACGCGCTTTTATTAAAAATAAAACGCAAATAGCATAAAAAACGCATAAAACCGCGGACAAAGCATTTATTAAAAAAAAACGCTAAGCGATATTTAACCATTGAAAAAGCGTTATTTCCGTAACGGGATAAAATATTAAAAAAAACGGCGCATTTTGGAAATTCGAAAAATGGGCCCGCTTAAAAAGCTTTTAAAAAAAAACCCGGATTAATTATTAAATTTAATTAAAACCGAAAAAAACCCGAATACGCTTTGCAATTATTAAAAAAAAGCCGAAATTTTGTTATTTAAGTTTTTTCCAAACCCGTTAATTAATATTTTCGATATTAGCAAAACCGAATTCCCGAACCACTTTTTCCCAAACCTTTTTTAAATGCCCGTTTTCGTTATTTTGCAAAATGTTGGAACTTACTTGTTAGGCGCATGCACAGGCTTTGGAGGATCGCCATGCACAGATCCGGGATTTGTGCACCGGCCATCCAAAGCTCCTTTGTACTTATATAAAAAGGTCGGATCCGTCCCTTTCTTTCAGCAAAATTCCTTCCTCCTTAAACCTAAATAACAACACTTTAACTTAATTACCCTTTAATAATTATCAAACCTCAGTTTCACGCCGTTTAAAGCTTTACGAGCATAGGACTCCACCCCAAAGTCCTTCCTACACAAAACATTATAAAAGCAACGGGCCGTACTAAACCGTAAAAAGTTACGGGCTAAAACCATTTTCCAAACGGGCTATTTAAAGCCGCTAAATTGCCGGGCGCAACCGTTATCGCGAAATTTGTTAACGCAACGATCGCTACAAGCTATTTCCCAAAGCGCTTTAAAAAAGCTTTTACGGTAATATTACCCAAACCAAACAAAACCATTGTAAAAAATAAATAAATTGGGGGATAAAAGCTTATCGCTTTGTTATTATTAATTTTAAAGGTTATTAAATTAATTATAACGAAGCAAATTGCTAACGAAACGGAAAAAAAAGCATTTTTCCCAACGGCCAAATGGGTAACCAACGGGTTAAAAGTACGGAATTAGCAATTTAAAAAGTAATAAAAACGGTAATTGCAATATAAAACCACGGCGTTACCGCGTTGCTATTACAATTCAATTTGTTCGGAGCATTTAATACCGTTAATTATTTCCAATTGCTAAATACGCTAAAAAAATACGGCTTTTTTTATTAATTGTAAAATGGGTAAAAGGGTAATTAGCAAATAAAACGGCCATTTTGCAATTCGATAGTAACATTTTAAACTTAATTTTAATTCGAACCGGAATTTTCCAAAGCTTTTTTTTATTTTTTATATTTTTTATTATATATATTGCATTATTGTATAAAAATTTTAAAAGCATTTCAAAAATTTTCGTTACCGGTTTTGCTAACGATACCAACCCATTAGCAATAAAAAATATCGCAAAAAATATGGCCCGCTTTTTGGAAGCAATTTAGCCAAAATGCAAAGCATAAGCAACTAAACACGGTATAAAATTTAATAGCACCAAAATTAAATTAATTTATTTTAATAAGGACGAAAA